TTACTGCACTACTGGTCATCACTGCACTACTGCCAATTGCTGCACTACTGCCACTTGCTGCACTACTGCCAATTACTGCATTACTGGTCATTACTGCACTACTGCCAAGTACTGCACTACTGGTCATCACCAATTGCTGCACTACGGCCAATGACTGCAATACTGGTCATTACTGCATTGCTGCCAATTAGTGCACTACGCACTCGTGCCGAGGGACGAGGTACGACAGTGTATGCTAGCGCTAGTATCCCTTTGGGAAACATCGAAGGTGTTTCGCTAGAAAACGTCGAAGGGGTTTTCCTCTGAAGCTAAACAGAACGAAGCTTGTCTGTTTGCTAGAGTGACTGCACATGGCCGGTGAAGCAGCGCTACGCCGTGGCCATTGTGCTGAAAGGCCCCCAGCTATTGGGGGGCAAATTTCGAGTGGGGGGTAGGAAGGGGAACAGGGCTAATTAGCCCTGCTTTAGGGTGCGCCGCCATGTCGGACAGCGACGCTACCTTGGCGCCGACCACGCCAGATGGTGCAGCAGCTACGGCCGCTGACTGCGCTACTGTGGTTGGGGATTCCCCGCCCCCGCTAAGTGCTTCGTGTCCCACCGAGGTCCCCACGCTAGGGGAGGACGATACCGCGGGGGCTCCTTCCGGGGAGGTACCCTCGTGGGTCCCGCAGACCCCAGCTAGCGACCCGCAGCCCGAAGAGACGGGAGTGCTGTTCGAGGGCTGGGAGATGGAGGCAGAGCTAGAGGCGCAGGCTACGGTCCAACAGGAACGTAGGCGCACGCTAGACAGGGCCTACCGGCATCTCTCCAGCCAGGGGTTTGGGGTCTTGGAGCTAGCAGTGGTGGACCTAGACGACGCGGAGGATGTCGCCAAGCAGCTAGCTCGAGAGCTAGGTATTCCATACCAGCCGTGGCTATGGGATGGCGTCTACTGTTGGCTGCAGGAAGCGCGACAGGAAGCTACGGTCTATCAGAGGATGCACGGCTACTTCCAGGATGATATCACCTGGAGAGCCCGGATGCCACCGCTACCTGCACCAAGGGAAGAGGTCGAAGACGCGGTGCATCAGCCACCGGTGCCGCTAAGACCTCCCCCCGGGGAGCGGAATCGAAAGACGCTACAGCCCAGCACGATCAGTGCGGCTAGAGAGGAGCGACTGCCAGAGGTTTTTGGCAAGGAAGCTCCGTGAAAAGCTGCTAGAGATACACGCCCCTGTTCTCGCTAAGCTGCACGGGAGTCTGGACCCCGTGAGGGCAGCTATGTTGCTTCCGGGGAAGACCCGGGCTTCTACTTTGAAGCGCTACCTGAGCTACTACAGGCAGTGGCGCCAATGGCTCCACGCAGCTAAGCTCAGGCCGCCCCCGGGCACCCCCGCGGACCTGGTGGATTACCTCCTCGCTAGGAGTGATGAACCCTGCGGCCGTTCGGTCCCTGAAGCTATTCTTAAAGCTATCTCCTGGATGGAGAAGGTGGCCGATTTTCCGGTGGAGCTAAGGACCACCTTTGGTCGCCTGGTCTGGGCCGCTAAGGACAGCATAGTGGAGCAGCTAGCGGAGGGAGCCCCATTGATCAAGAGAGCACCCCGCTACCCCGTCTACATGCTGGTGCAGCTAGAGCTCGTAGTCATTAACCCCGCTCTGGCAGCCGGCTGGCGGATCTGGGCCTGGGCTAAGTTGGTCAAGGTCTGGGCCACGCTAAGATGGTCGGACCTTCAGGCTATCCTGCCGGCCGAGCTATTGATGGTGGAGGGGCGGCTCACCACCATCCTCCGGAAGACCAAGACTTCCGGCGCTACGAGGAGGGTCAAGGAGTTACCGGTCGTGGTGTCAGAGCACGCCTTTCTGGTCGCTAAGAGCTGGCTGGTGACCGGCTTTGATCTCCTCAAGGCCCACGCTAACTACGCCCGGGATTACCTCATGCCGCGGCTGGGCCGGGCGGGGCAACTGGAGAAGAAGATGGCTACCTATGCGGACGCTATGGTGGCAACCGCGGGGCTGCTGGCTATCATGGGCTACCCACGACGGGAGGTCCAGGGCTATTGGACGGAGCACAGTGAGCGCTCGGTGCTACCAACAGGTTTGGCGCTAAAGGAGATCCCCCCGCAAGACAAGGATCTGCTAGGGCGTTGGAAACCCGAGGGGTCCGACGTGTACGCTAGATCTTTTGCGGGTAGGGTGTCCCGTCTCCAAGCTCTCTTCGCTAAGACAGCTAGGAGGGACGACCGCTACGAGGCGCTCGACGAGCGTGAAATCGCCGCGGACCTCGAGCCCTGGCTGGAAGAAAGGGCCAAGCTAACCCACAGCCAGGCTATCCATATGGCGGCGAGGCTGCGGAAGATCTGGATGGAGGGCCTGCTAGGAGTCCCGACCGAGGCGGAGGAGCTAGAGGTTTACGAGGGACAGGACGAGCCCGCGGAACCGCTAGTGGCCGGGAGTAGCTCCGAGGCCTCTGCAGAGGTCGTGGAACGGCCCGCTAAGAAGCAAGCCAGGGTTCCCGACCGCAGCCAGGGCAGCTATGTAATCGTAGAGGTCCCAGGTGCCATTTTCCGCCTGCACAAGGCGGGCGCTACAGGTTGTTGGATGGGGAAGCGACGTGCTTTCCGCAACGCTAGGATTCTTGATTCGGTTCCGGAGCCGCACGAGTACACACATGTGTGCAAGCTATGCTGGCCGAACCAAGGGGCTATCTCCGAAGGTGACGCTAGCGATGGATCGCTCGCTAACTCGGAGGATGACGAGGCCCCAGAGGATCTCGCACCGGGGTCCGCTTGCTGTCGTCCTTGAGCGCTAAGCCGCCGAACTCGCACTCGCACCAAGGCTAGAAAGGCTGCTAGGTCGGAACCACCTGCTCTCCCCTCTCTGCCTCTCTCTCTCTCTCTCTCTCTCTCTCTCTCTCTCTCTCTCTCTCTCTCTCTCTCTCTCTCTCTCTCTCTCTCTCTCTCTCTCTTCTCTCCCTCTGCGAAACGCCGCTAGACTTTAAAGGGGGTGTGCTGGGGGGGGGGGGGGACCTTCGGGCGTGGGGGGGGGGGGGGAGGGGAGCGGGAGAAAGAAGAGAGTGGAGGGAACCACGTTCTTGCTACATGTCACTTGCTGTGTGCCTGTGTTGTGCTTTCGTGTTCCGCTAGTGTCTTGCAGGAGGAGCAAGGAGCGAAGGCAGGCGCTAGGAAACCGGGGCCGGGAGACCCCTCTTCTGGCCACCCAGGGAACACAGGAGCTAGGTGAGGAGCCAGTGCTTGCGCTAGGTCCGTCCTGCAGGAAGGAGCTAAGGAGCGAAGGAAGGCGCTACGAAACGTGCGGGCTTTACACCCGCGAGGCAACAGGGCTACAAAGGAGCTAGGCGCAGGAGCCAGTGACTGTGCTAAACCTCCTCCCACGGGTAGCCTTCGGCTTCGCTACCTTGGGGTAGCTAGATTTTCTTGAGCCGTTTCACCCGATCCGTGCCTTGGGCGCCGCTATGGGAGGAAAAGGCAAGGATGCCAGAGCTACATCGCCCAAGGGCGCAGGGCCAGCAGATGGCCCCGCTACGGCCGAGGAGCCCGCTAGTGGAGACTACCTCCGACCCGCGGAAGGCGCTACGGTTTCGGCCGTCAGAGTGCACCGAGGGGCTGCACCGCTACCTCGACAAGCCTCTGCTACAAGAGCTGAAGAGCCCCGCTAACCTGATAGAGCGGCGAGTTCTGTCAGCTACTAGCTGGGCCGACCTGTCCCAGGAGGACATCGCTAGCTTGGATGCCGCTATGTCCGCGGGCCTCACTCAGAGGTTCGCCGCTACAGAGGCCGCCGCTGCAGCAGCGAAGGCCCAGCTAGACCAGCTCGCCGCAGCCAACGCGGCCGCTAGCGCTGCGAAGGCCAAGGCCCGCAAGGAGGCGGAGGCCATAGCAGCTAAGCTCGCGCTAGAGAAAAAGGCCGCGCTAGAACAAAAGCGGAAGGAGGCCGCGGAGCGGCTCGCTAAGGAGGAGCAGGCCGCCGAGCTGGAGTACCAGCAGGCGGTGGCCGCTAGCAAAGCCTCCCTGCAGGCCGCAGAGGAGGCCGCAGCAGTACCGACCCTGCCCCGATGGCCGCTAGCCGCCGCCACCGCGGCACCTGCTAACATGGACCCTACGCCGGCGGAGTCGGCCGCTAGGAAGTTCATGGAGATCGGGCCGAGGGCCGCTAGCCCCTCGTTCCCTCGGGCCGCTAGCCCTGGCCGTGGCCGAGGCGAGAGGGGCCGGGGAAAGGGCCAGCCGGCCGCTACAATCACTGTGTTCGACTACACGTGGAGCACGCTATTCGAGGACCCGGACCGCTACCTGGAGTTGCTACGCCGCGAGCTCCAGATGGACCGAGCTATCGACCACTTGGAAAGTCGGGGCGGTTATAATCGAATAGGCCATGTAATAATCACATACCACCGACTTCCAAGTAGATGGACGACTTAAGGCTATGTCAGGTAAGTGGACTTGGTTTTGGGATGTTCCCGTGCACTTACTAAGTAGGTTAGGGCCCGCTTAGGCTACATAGGCAACCCAGTTAGGGCACTTAAAGCTATATAGGCTAAGTGGACTTAGGGCACATACTAAGTGGTCTATAAGTAAGCAGATTTACAATATTTTTGGTGCACCAAGGCATCCGGAAAAAGTTTGAAAATCGAGCGGAAGCCCAGAGCATGTAGAAAATTATGTAAAAAAACATACCTACAACCCTGCAAAAACCATGAACTTCCGTCTGCACCTGCACCGGGCCGCCTGCGGCTGCCTGCAAATGGGGAGGTGGTCAATGCGTCATTTGTTAATGGTCCTTCTGAGGTGTGAGGGCCTGTTTTGACATTTGGGTTTTTCCAGATTGCACGAGGCTTCGTTGAAGCCTTATTGTTACTATATTCGGTTGATACACATACGAAGAATTTCTACACAAAACCTACAGTTCAAATCCTAAACCCGATAAGGTATATACACACCAAAGCCTAAGTACAACTGAAAAGGCCAGACCGAGGTTCAGTGCACTCTCTATTTCCGGATGTTGTTAGCGAGTGGCAAAGTGCTGGGGCACTACAAAAATGAATCGATCAGCAGTGCTGCGAGTGATGCAGGGCCCACGAATGGAGGCCGGACTAACGAAGGAAGCATTGTCTTCGACAATTCTGAACTTGTTGGGGGTATCAGCAACCTTCTCGTAAAAACTTACACAAGTGAACAGATAGTCTTGCAATTGGCAGTGATAAAGCACCTCAGCTACGGCTACAGGCTCGTCCAGGAGGACAATGTCCCCAGTGGACACGAGAGGGCATCGGGGCACCTTAGCCTTTGAGCTGAAGAGCAGTCCACTGGCCCCACGAAGCTCAAAGTGGTTTGCAAAAGCCCGCTGCAGTGGCTCCGGTGCGGTCACGGGCGTCTGCAACTCCGTCCTGAAGCTGAGCGAAAGGCGGTCCAGTGCCTCGAGATGGGTGAGTTCCATCTCTCGCAAGAGGCCTTTTTCAGTGCCTGCACGGGCACAGTTCTGGTTGTTTGCGTAGCGCTTCAGCTCTTTGTGTCGCCGTTCGTGTGTCAGGCAAGAAATGAGGATCCTGTGATGCGAGAGTTGGCCTGCGAGGTGCATGGCCATGTGCCCTTTCGGAAGAAAAGTTTCTCCAGGATACACTTCCTGATACTTCGCCAAGTGTGCCTCCACAGCCGTTCTGAGATCTGATGGCGCCACATCCCCATGCAAGGTGCCTTGCAGGAGGTCCAGGCACTGGCAGAGTAAAAGGAACGAGCTAATGGCACCCAAACAGTCCGCCGACAGCTCTGTTGTCTCCCTGATGCGGTGGATGATGTCCCTGAGGATTGGATACACCCCGAGAGCTTCACTGGCGGAGCTCTTCCAATCGGAGTCGCCCTTCTTCGGCTGGAAGACGTTCTTGATGACATTACTTTTGCCTTCGTGGTAAGAAGGCAAAGAATACTCCTGAAGAGCCTGGTGAATGGCATCCTGCTGCACCCCCTGCTGGTTCAGCCTGCCCAGAAGCAAATTGACTTCTAGGTGAAAAAGTCCCCCCACCAAGTAGACATGTGCCCAGTCGAACATCACACCTTTGGTGGGGTCGAACATGGCCATGAGGGGTTGGCAAAGCAAAACCCCGTGAGGAGAATGGTTGAATCCAAGGTTGGACTGCATCGCATCGAAGTCTTTGCGGGAGCTCCCATCCACTTTAGATGACAAGAGGTTGACGGTCGCCTGCAGGGAGTTGGCTGTGTGGAGCTTAAACCGTCTGCTGTCGGTACAGGTGTGGAGCTCCAACGGGGGGTGCAAAGGTGCCGGTGCATAGCGCCTCAACACCACGTTTCGGCAGAACATGCACGGGACCTTCCCAGAGGCCCCCTTAAACTCAAACATATGTTTGAGTGCGCTCTCGTCGGCCACCACGATGGCGAGCTCAGCAGACAAAACCAGGCCTGGAAAGGCGAGGCCGAAACGAAAGTTCCGGTCCTCCTCCGTGAAGCATAGCATGCACCGCTTCGTGAGTTGGCTCAACCCATCCGCCACATCTGCAACCGTCTTGGATCGCACTGTCGTCAGCAGCATCCAAGCATCCTCGCGGGTTAAGCTGGTGCCGAATTCTCTGAAGCTCCAATAGAAGGTTTGCAGCTTCCGGGCGTTTGAAACCTTCAGTTGATTGCCCGGTGAAACTTCATCGGAATACACCACTATCCCCCATGGGGAATTGACGGTTGCTGGCTTCCTCTCCAACATCTCCAGCATGAAGCTTCGAAACCGTTCGCAAGAGTTCAGCCGATGCCAAAGGCAGGCGGCCGGGTCTAAAAAGTCGACTGGAATCTCTGCTCCACTGTTGCTTTCCAGTTTCCAGTGCTTCATCATGGGACCAAATGGAGTCTCAGCCGCCATTCTCTTCTCCCGCGACCGCTTCACGGAGCTTTGACTGATGCCAGCCGGCAATGAATCTGCTTCCTTCACTGCACGTAAAACCTCTGCCAACCCGTGTTGTGACACGAAGCTCTTCCTCCCGACTCGGCTGAGGTCTAGAGGTGGCATTGGTGCGAGCCAAGCCCTGCACCCTGCAGGATCGCGAGCCGAGCCCTGCAATCCCAAGAAATGGCACGGCAAGATCTACACGATCGGATGATTTCGTCTCCTGTAAAACATAAGTGTCCCGGCTCATGTTCTGGCTACGATAGATGCGAAAGGATCTTATGCAAAAGGTCATATATGATCATGCAAAGCTCAGGTTTCAGGCATCAATGCAAAGAAGATCGGACTTGAAGGACACAAGCCTGGCAGCATGCAAAGGTAGGGCATTTGCACTATATCAATGCAAGAAAAAAACATATGCAGGACCTGCATATGTCTATATGCATGGTGCACCATGCATGCATGATAGCAACACCCATATATATATATATATATACATACACATATATATATATATATGGATATATATATATATATATATATATGTACACATGCTACGTATACCACCACCGAAACCGTCCAGCTTACACCATGCACGGCACCACCAGCAGCATCACCTCGAGCTACCCATCCACCGCCAACCAACGAGGAAACCCTATATCCCCTACATAAAGCCTATATATACAAAACCATACAAACCCTAAACCCTGAAACCTATATGGTTTCATTATATGCCCTTTTATAACCGCCCATCTGTATCCGTGTACATGGCAAGACAAACCGAAACATCTCGGCAGCAAAGACCCAACACTGTTTATCTAGCCTGAACCCGTCATAAAACCTATGTATATTATAAAACTATTAAATAAATCTTAAACCCAATATCAATCCACGTATACTACATCACGAGACCGTGCACATGGTCCTCGATGATGGAAAACAACCTGCACCACAAGTGTAATGACTTCAGCTCTGGGCCATCCTGACCCACCTCCAAGTGACAACTACCAAATCCTATACACCCCAGATAAACCCTGAAATCAACAGTCCATATAAGCAACAAGTAATCATCCAAACTACAACAACCACAACAACCACCAATGTAATCAATACACAGTTGTCAACAACCATTCAGACGAAGAATATTATAGTGAAGTTTATAAACCCGCAACCATGAAACCCAGACCTCTCGGAACAACAATCACCACAATCGACCACCACCAAAAGAAGTGCAAGAACCACGCCAACCTCCACCCCTGAACAGTCTACAAGCAGTGCTAGCTGAAGCCAGCGTATCGGTATCTCAAGAATAATTCTATACATCATGCATGCCTGAACTGAAAGTAGTCCTCGTGCACTGCTCTTGCCTCCCCGGAGGCATTGGGCGATCGGCCTGCCACACATCAACCACAATTCTAAACCCATACGGATACAATCTGCTGAGCTGTCGAGGTGTAATCACGTGCAAGATTGCAGAGAACCCGGACTGGTTTCTCGGATCGCGGCATCAGGTCGGACGTCGACGATGACACAAAACACCGGGCGGCACATACAGTCCACCCTGCACGAGAAGGAAGCTCGCATGCTGGCACTCACCTCAACTCTGGTCCATCCTGGCATGATAACTCCGAGCTTGCACCGGCTTATATACCAAATATATTTTGACGGTCTATACTTAACAAGGGACACAACTGACGGTGCATGCACCACGGTCCTCATCAAAACCCACCTCGGCGGCAAGCTTCGCGGAAGGGTAGCCCTGGCCCTCTGGGCTCCACCACTTCCCGTAGAGCGAGCCATCGGTGCCCCGGCGGCGGTAGTGCACCACCCATCCGCTTCTCTTGCGGATGCTCTTCACGATCGTGTTGGAGGCGGCCTTTGCCTTCGGCACGGCCTTGGACTTCGCCACGGCCTTGCTCTTCGCCGCGGCCTTGCTCTTCGCCACGGCCTTGGACTTCGGCACGGCCTTGGTCTTCGCCACGGCCTTAACCTTGGGCTTGGGGATGATGTTTGCTGCAGGCTTCTGCTTCAAGATGCTTGCAGGCCGCTTGCATTTCTGTAGCCACCCCAACTGCTCCTCGGGGCCCTCCTGGTCGCCTTCATTCTGCTCCTCCTCCTCATCCTCAGCGGTCTCCTTCTTCTCACTCTGCTCTGGGGCCGGGAGGCTGAGCAATGGCACTCCGGACGAAGAGGCTTTCTCTGCCGGGGAATCGGTCTGCAATGGCTGGGCCTGGGTCTGCGAGGTCTTGTCAGGCGAAGGAAGTGCCAGCTGCTTTCTCTTAGTGTTGGGCTTGAAGAGGTGGAGGTTGCCGAGAGGCTGATCCTCTCCCTGGCCCTGGTTCTGCATCGCTTGGACCACGTGCATTAGCCCAGCCATGAACTGGCCGAATGCATCGCCCTGCGAGGGCCCGGAAGGCACCAATGCACTCGAGCTCGAGGAGGAGGTCGCGGCTTGCAGGGCCTTGGACGACTTCCTCAAAGCCTGCACCTGCGAAACCTTCAGGATTTGATCGATTGAGAGCGGCTCAGGCGGGTCCTCGCGATAGGAGTCCGCGAAATGACGTAGATGGTCAGGTAGCTGATCCGGCGAGTCGGGGTAGATGGGGAGCTCAAAGGTGGTTTTGCCAGGCATCATTTCCCGCTTACGTTTCATAATGCGTTTGAAATGGTTCAGGGCACTATAGAAACTGCTCGCAGTCTTCGCCTCTAGGCCACCAGCGACCGCACTGGCAAGAATGCGGCCTTTGCAGGTTTCACTGGGCAGCACCAGGCCGATTTTGATGCATCGGCTTGCCATCTGGTGCAATTTCTGCGACTCAGACTGAGCCGAGTCGGCCAAGATCCGTCGGTCCTCCTTGGAGAGGTAAGCACCAAACCGCGGGCAGTCTTGGGTCCTGGTCTCCTCGGCTGGATTGCCTCCGCCCAAGGCTGCAAGCTTGTCCGACACGAGTTGGCACATCTCGGTCTTTTGCTCATCCGTCCATGGCCCATCTGCGATCCCACGGGTCAAGGCAGTCGCCTCCGTCGGGGTCACATTCACCAACTTGCCGATGCCCTGTTTCACCCCAGAGGCATGCGTCTGAAGCATGGTTTTCCACGTCTCCTGTGGCACTGCTGCCTTCTGCTGGTCCAGGAAATCCGCGAGCTGAACCATCATGACCTTCAGCTGTTCAGCCATGGCCACAGCTATCGGAAGGACAAAGATCAGTGGCGAAAAATCCTCGCGAGCAAAAGCCCTGCAAGGATCACCGCAGCGAGCATGTGCCCTGCAGCGGCAGATGCTTCTCTATATGGTGCATATAGGAGTTTGCAGCACCAACAGCAGCAGCAACAACGACAACAACCAACAACCAACAACCAACAACCAACAACCAACAACCAGAACCAACAACCAGAACCAACAACAACAACAACAACAGCAACAGCAACAGCAACAGCAACAGCAACAGCAACAGCAACAGCAACAGCAACAGCAACAGCAACAGCAACAGCAACAGCAACAGCAACAGCAACAGCAACAGTAACAGCAGCAGCAACAGCAACAGCAACAGCAACAGCAACAGCAACAGCAACAGCAACAACAACAACAACAACAACAGCAACAACAACAAGAACAACAACAACAACAACAACCAGAACCACAACCACAATCACAATCATAACCACAACCACAACCACAACCACAACAACCCACCAACCAACCAACCAACCAACCAACCAACCAACCGACCAACCAGGCAACCAACCAAGCAACAAGCAACAACCAACAACCAAGAACCAAGAACCAAGAACCAAGAACCAACAACCACAACAACCACAACAACCACAACAACCACGACAACCACAACAACCACAACAACCACAAACACAACCACAAGAACAACAACAACGACGAAAACAACCATACAACTGATCGGCTGCAGAGTCTCATAAGTTTGCAAAGGACCTTGTTTCAAAAATGCCCCGCTGACAGCTCACTCAGAATTCCGGGACCACCTCGCTCAAGGCAAGTTTCCTAGGATCAGTTTTATGTACAATCCGCTTCTTGGCACTGACCAACATCTTGTGATACTTCGCCCTTGACCGTTTGCTCGACCAGAGGAGCGAAGTCAGGCTCAACTGGCCACGGCAGCCCACCAGCCTGATGTCCTGGGAGGACTGGAGGAGATTAGCCTGCAGCATGGCACTTCTGATCAACAATCGAACTGTAGCCACCCGCACATCTCGGTCTGGTGCAAGTGGCCGCGAGGATTCAAACACCACTCTGCCGGATAGCATTCGGGCTTGTATGTGCAGGTTGCCGGAGATCAGCTTAGCGAACAACATGATAACAATGGTTGCGATGGGGGCGACCCTGACGATGAAATACTGCCGGAGGCCCCCTTTCATGCCCTCCCAGATGCTGGACTCGTTGTTGGCAAGCTCTCGTACCTTGTATACCAGGCGAAGGACTCATGGCCGAAGTAATCCTGACCCAACGAGATCCTGTAGCATGCCGCCGAGCTGAGAACCCGGAACTCGTCGTTCCTGGGAACCTGGGAGTTTGGGCCTGCGACTTTCGCAATCTCGAAGGTGGGAGCAAGCATGGCCAAGGCACCGATCTTTCCTGGCAGGTAGCTTGATGAAGCAGCTGCATCGGGAAGAGCAAAACTGCGGGATCCTGTCTTCCTCGCTTTTTCCCTGTCACTCTGCCGCATCCCTCACGGCACTCTCGCGAGCATGCCCTGCGAGAGACGGAAGCGAGACACGGCCCTGCTTCCGCCAAAAACACGGACATGCACTGCATGCTTTCATGCATACATGCATCCACCACCACCACCACCAACAAACAAACAACCATCCCCACCACCACCACCACTATATGCAACGTGCACCACCACCCTGCATGCAGCATCACCCTCACCACGACCATGCACCGTGCACCTTGCACCACCACCATGCACCACCAGCACCATGCACCACCACCGCAACATGCATGCATGCAACATCACCACCACCATGCCTGACCAGCATCAACACCAGGCGCCACCATGAGCAGCAGCACCATCACCAGCGCCACCCTTGTTTACTGCCATGTTGCTATTTAACAGTTATAATGTACCTTCTAAAAACCACTGCCTCTTTCCTGTGGCACACCATAGAGTGCCATTGCGGCACACGGGACAATATATGGCATGCACTCAGAAAACGACGTGCACTAAAGAGAGAGAAAGAGGGAGCGAGCGAGCACAAAGACAAAAGGACGGAGAAGGAGGGTCCAGGGTTTTGGGTTTAGGGTTTTGGGCTTTTAAGGTTTAGGGTTTCTATAGTATAGGGCTTACAGGGTTGTAGGGTCGAGGGGTTTGGGGGTTTGGGGGTTTGGGTGCTTTGGTGGTTTGCTGGCTTCGACCTAAACCCGGGCAACCCCTGCGGCACACCGGCATTTTCTCATCCTTTCAAAAACCGTCTTGTTTTGGTGACACGGCTACTTCGCCACCTCCGAAGGCTTGCTCTTGTCGTCGTCCTTCTTCTTGTCACGGGCTTTCTTCTTGTCATCGTCCTTCTTCTTGTCGCGGCCTTTCTTCTTGTCATCGTCCTTCTTCTTGTCACCGCTTTTCTTCTTGGCATCGTCCTTCGTGGCCCACGTGACCTCGTCCAAGGACAGCCTTTTCACGATGTCCTTGACCGCCGCCTTGCCCCACTGGAACACCGCCTCCTCGCCCTCGTCGTCGTCCTCGCCCAGCTTCCGCCGCTTGCACTCTCGCCGGCACACCTTCTGGAGCACGAGTGCCAGCTGAAGCCTCTCTCGCTCCTCCACCATGGATCTACAGTCTATGCGGATGCTCTGCAATGGATGTTGTGCCGTTTCTGCATGCATGCCCCATGTGGTGCTACAGCTGCATGCCGTGCCTGCCAAGTGCTGATGGATGCCCCCTGGTTGTTGTTGCTGCCGCTTGCTGCTGCCTTGCTGTCGCCACTCGTTGCTGCTGCTGTTGTTGTGGCAGCTGCAGGCACACATCAAGGTTCAACATGGGCACGACTGTGACATCACTGCAACTGCATGACATGTCTGCACACAACAAGAAGCGGACATGGCCCACCGTGGTGGTGGCAGTGGTGGTGGTGGTGGTGGTGGTGGTGACGGTGATGGTGGTGGTCGTGGTGGTGGCAGTGGTGGTGCTGGTGCTGGGGGTGCATGGTGGTGGTGCAGGTGTTGGTTGTGGTGGTGGTAGTGGTGGTGGTGGTGGTGGCGGGTGTGGTGGTGGTTTTACTATGTATACTACTACATGCTATAGTACTGTAGTACTACTATAGTACGAGTACTATAGTACTGGTACTAGTACTATACTAGTACTACTACTAAACTACTACCCCTAGTACTAAACTACTGCTACTACTACTCCTATACTACCACTACTACTACTACTACTACTACTACTACTACTACTACTACTACTACTACTACAACTATACTACTACTACTACTACTACCACTACTACTATAGTACTACTACAACTAATACGACTAGTACTCCCACTACTATACTACTACTACTACTACTACTACTACTACTACTACTACTA